ACACACGCTCAAATATGCTAGGGTTCTTTTCTCTGAAAGGGTGGCCGCAAAATGAAGGCTATAAGGACCCTTAAATAAGGCACATGCCCAAGGATTTAGGGGTTCTGTCCACAGCGCGGACTCGTCGAGTCCACTCTCCGACTCGTCGAGTCCATTCATTAATCCTAGTCAGCAGTCGCGATCCTACTCGACGAGTCTAGGCGTCAACTCGTCGAGTCCCTCTTCTTGACTCAAAAATAAATACTCAATTTATGATACCTGGGAATCCGGTTGTTACAGTATAGGATGATGCTATGTTAGTGACCGGTTAGGTCTGTATCCTGGTTATAGGATGTTGCTATGATTGATGATATGTTAGATCAGTTTGACTATTATATATGCTAGTGTATGATAGTATGTGCACATGTTTGTTTGATTGGGGGTGGGTTGAGGCAGTACTGCTTTGTGCTGAAGGCCAACATACCCAAGGCGGTCCGGATAGACTACAGGCCCAGGAGGGCATGTCAGTCAGACCGAAGGCCCAACGAGCGGTCAGGATAGGATGTAGACCCTGCGGCGGTCCAGACGTGCCGAAGGCTCAGAGAGCGGTCCAGATAGGCTGAAGGCCTGCGAGGCGGTCCAGTCAAGCTGAAGGCTCATTATGCATGTTGTTTGCTTATATGTTTATATGATATGGTTATATCTGTATGGCGTTGGTATTTTGGGGGTAACTCACTAAGCCTTCGAGCTTACATTTATCGATTATGATTTCAGGTACTTCTGATGATCGCGGGAAGACGAAGGCGTGATCGTACCGCTCCTCACACTTTATGATCTTATGTTTTGATTATGGGATACTATGACGATATACTATTTTGAAAACAAGTTTTGTAATAATCATGGGTTTTGAAATGTTTTAAAAATTTTAAATTTGACATGATTTTTATGGATGTTACAGTTAGGGTTTCCCGATCTTCTGGACACTGCATGAACTCGATGAGTTGTTTGGTAACTCGGCGAGTTGACTCGGGTTTTCATGGTTTTCTGAGTTTTCAAGGAACTCAACGAGTCTGTAAGCTGCACTTGACGAGTTGGGTCAACATGGATTGTTGACCTTGACTGTTGACTTTGACTTTGACCAAGGGTTGACCAAGTTTGACTTCTGAGGGTATTTTGGTAATTTGGGTCTTGATAGAATTGGTCCTATTATGATTGTAGGTGGTTGAGTTTGGAGCTGTGTCTGGGAGTTTGACATTATCATTCAACACTACTTGTGAGGTGAGTTTTCCTCACTATACTGACAGGGTCGAAGGCACCAATGTCGACTCTTTTTGGATTGTTATCCTGGTTATCGCATGATGATATGCTTAGTAATCTGTTAGATCTGTATCATGGTATATAGGATGATGATATGTTTAGTGACCTGTTAGGTCGGTATCCTGGTATATAGGATGATGCTATGTTTGGTGACCTGTTAGGTCGGTATCCTGGTATATAGGATGATGCTATGATTAGTGATATGTTAGATCGGTCTGACTGTTTGTACATGCTAGCATTTTTTATCTATGTGTTGATTGTATGCTTGGGGGTGGGTTGAGGCGGACCTGATTTGTTCTGTTAGCCAACATACCTAGGGTGGACCGGATAGACTGCAGGCCCAATGGTGCATACCAGTCAGGCCGAAGGCCCGAAGAATGGTCCAGACAGGCTGAAGGACCGGTAGGGCGGACCAGACATGCTGAAGGTTCTAAGAGTGGGCCAGACAGACTAAAGGCACGGTGAGGGCAGTCCGGTCATACTGCAGACTCTATATGCATGCTGTTTGTTATGATATTGTTATGGTTATGTATGACGTTGGTATTTTGGGGAAATTCACTAAGCTTTGGGCTTACAATTTTGGATTTTGTTTCAGGTACTTCGGATGATCGTGGGAAGACAAAGGCTTGATCGTGCACCTCCTCGCATTTTATGATTTTGATTTCTGGGATACTCTGATATGAAACTATTTTGAAAACATTTTGTAATTAATGGTTTTTGAATAAAGACCCCTAACATATGATTTTCGGCACTATGCTATATAAAGACCCCTAACATATGATTTTCGGCACTATGCGAAAACCCTAGCAGCCTCAACTATATAAAGACCCCTCGCATATGATTTTTGACACTATGCTTTCTTAGAGAACCCTAGCCGATTTTCATAGTGTTTTTACCTCCTTTCTCATTCATCCTTTGGTATTGGTGTTTGCGACTCCATTAGAGGTGCAACACTTGAGGCACTAAGCTTTCAAGAGTCAAGATCATCCACAAAATTCTTGTTATTACTAGATAGCAAGCAAGGTAATCTCCTAACCCTAGTTTTCATCTGGATTTTGAAATTTTATGCTAGTATTAGGGTTATTGCTTTGGAATTTCTATTTGTATGTATAACTAGTGAAAAACTTAGATCCAAAGCAATTAGGGTTGCATGATCACATAGGAATGTAGATATGCTCAAAACCCATCACAACCTCCATCTCCCTAAAGCAATTATCTCGAAACCCTAGCCCCATTGTGAAGATTTTGAGCCTCTTGTATGTTTTGGAGTGTTTTTGGTGCACCTTGGAGAAGAACGAGCTCATTGGAGAAGTGTTGGGTGTCTTGGAGCTTGTAGATCTAGCCTTTGTTCACCTTGATCTATCTTCTGGAGGTAAAAAGTCTCAAACTTGATGGTTCATTTGTTAGATCTTGCTTGTAAGTGGGTTTTTGTGCTTTTTGGTCCCATGAGTTGATTCTTGAGAGTAAATGCCACTCCAGAAGTTTTAGGTTGTTCATTTTGATGTTTTAAGGTCCCTTGTTCATAAAGTTTGCATCTTGATGGTTGTGGACCAACCATGCATGAGTTGTTGACCTCTTGGTGAAGCTATTATACTAGATTTGGGTTTTGGGTTTCTTGGAGCCATGCAAAAGCATCAAGTTGATGACTTTATTGATTAAGACACCCATTAGAATTAGATATATTAGCCTTGGATGTAAAGTCTTAATGGATTAAGCACTTTTAACTGAGTCTTTGGTCATTTTGTTATGTTAGGAAGCTTAAGTTTGGTGTTGGGCTTTATTAAGTCATGCTAAGTCATAAAGTCAGGAACTTTATGACTCTAGACGTCCATTAGGCTTGAACTTGAGGATTTTGACATTTGTTCTTAAAGGAATAAGACCTAAAAATGGAGTTTTTGGATTTCTGCACCGTACGCCGGGCGTACTAGAGTAGTATGCGGGGCATACGCACCAAGGTGCCATTATGGGCCATTTTTGGGCCTTGGGTCTTCATGGTTTTGGGCCATTAGTTGTTGGGTTAAATATGGGAAGGGTAAAATAGTCTTTTACCCATTGATATGATAAAGTATGAATTGGACCTTGGACTATAGGAATTGCCTTAATTATTGATTAAGGATAATTTGGATGTGTTCAGTGTGAGGAGCCCGACGGCAGCAACACATGTGTTTCGGTTATCTCTAGACTGAGGTGAGTTTGCTTACTATATTGTAGGATACTAGGGTAGTATGTGCTTGTTGTCTTTGTAACTCTTGATGTATGTCTGTATGCCTGTTTGCTATATGTATGTAGGGGTGGAATAAACCCGATACAACCATGAGCTGTCATTTGAGTTAAAATAGACTTAGGGGTAAAATAGACCCGGGGGTGAAATAGACCCGATACGGCCTTGAGCTGTCATGTGAGTTGAAATAGACTCGGGGTGAAATAGACCCGGGGGGTGAAACAAATTCGGTTCAACCTTGAGTTGACATTTATGTATGGTATGTGGTATTTTGGGGAACTCACTAAGTTTTGTGCTTATGATTTCATATTTATGGTTTCAGGTACCTCCAGTTTGAAAGGGAAGAGTCCGACTTGATCGCAGCGCGTCCACCCATGTTTTCTCACTTTATGATTTTGAGATTGTACTCTGATAACTATTTTTACTCTAACATACCTTTGAATGGTTGATAAGAATAAATAGTGTTTATGTGTTGAATTACAAATGAAAATTTTACCTTATAATGTTACACTACCCCATACATCCATCCTATATCCATTTAAACATTCGACACATGAGGGGTGTGGGGGAGGGGGGGGGGGTGGGTTCTAGAGGTGAAATTCTTTTATTAGTTTACTAACAACTCAAACACACCAAATTTGTATAACATAAAATAGTGACCTAAGTAAAAAGACCATAGGGGTATTGCATATTAACCATTTTTCCACGTCGAAAGAACCATTGTGAAATGGTCACTACAAATGGGCTATTTCTCAATAAGGAAAATGACGATCTCCCACATCGAAATTTTTGTTTAATATTATAAATAACTTAACGATATAAATTTAAATTTAGGATCGATATTTGTAGGATATGAAATTTGAAATTCAGATCAAAGTTTGGAAATAGATTTGAGAGAAATTTGAAATAACACTTTTATTATAAAATGAAAAAAAATTAAAATTTTGCTGTTATATTGGTGAATTTTCGGTGTAATGTGGAATTGTAAAATAACCATGTTTGGACAACTTTGTGGTTATTTTTTGGAAAAACTTAATATTTTTAATTACTTTCAGATTTTCTCTATGAAGTGAACTTTTTTGTTAATTACTTTGTAACTTATTAAGGTATCCATAAATATACTTAAATAATTATATTTTTTGCTATAACCATTTATAGTAATAAATTAAAATGACTTAGTTTAATAGTTTGTAATTTCATTCCATCGTTACATTTCCTTTTTGTCTTGATATTTCACTAGAATCTAACATACTCGATAAATTAACATTTTAAAACAAATTAAAAGTTTAAAGATTTTTTTTTGAGAATATATATGAATAAAGTGTAATGTGTTAAGTTTGAAGTGACTTTGAGATCCACATTGACATAATATACTTGTAACTGTTTAAAGAAGGTTTTTTACTTTTTACATCTTGACGTTGATGTTTCCGTGTTCGTAAATCTGATCTTAAAGACTTTAAAGTTGCAAGCGTGGATAAATATTGCCGGAAAACAAATTCTCTTCAAATTTTCAGACAGGTTTCGCTTCTTCTTCGGAACAAAAAAAAAAACCCCTTCTCTTTCTTCTCTTCTCTCACAGCTTTCTATGGCGATTTAAAAACAAAAACTACAACGCAACTACAGAAACAATGGCTGAAAAGCTTCAAACCCTGCTGAAGGAAGTTGGATCCAAGCTTGAGAACCCACCTGCAAATAAAGATGCTCTTATCAAGCTTTTAAAGGTACTTGCTCCTCATTGCACTCAAAGTCTACCAACTTTTGAAGACTTTGTTTTCTATGTTCTTAGAACAATGGTTTCTTCCGGATTTTCTACTTGTTTTGCTTTGTTGTTCTGAATTTTGGTCCACGGAAAATATTGCCTTTCAATTTAACGGTTTCAAATTTGTTGAAATTTGCCTCAATGTTCTTTAATTTTGATTTCATTGTTTGGGGTAGGGAAGAATTTCAACTTCGCAGCTTGTTTGATTGAGGAATAATAACGTATTTTGGGGATATTCATGGGTCAGCTGAAATTATTTGTGAATTTTGTTTAAAATTAGGGTTTAGTTTCAAGGAGTGGGGAATATGGTAAGCTTTATCATTCGCTCGGGCCAATAATTAGACTGTTTCCCATTCCACTTTCGAGTTTTTATTCAATAAAAAAACTGCTTTATGATGTCTTAAGGTAAAGATTTTACAGTTGTTTTAAAAGAGAAACGATTTCAATATGGTTTCTACGGTGTCTTTTTTAGTTGAGGAAACGTTTGTATCTTTTGGGCGAGTTTCCTGAAAATCTTGTGAAAGTTTGTTGGAATTAGGGCTGGGTTTGAACTTTGAAGGAATCAGGAAGATAAGTCGTGGTTGAAAATTGGTTGGAATTGAATTCCATTCCAATCACGCATTTGGTTTCCATCAGAACTTACAAAATCCTTTGACCAATTGATTTCAACATTCCATCCTAAAACCCATGGAATTGAATTCCCATAATTTCCTCCTTGTTAAAAAATACTGAAATACCCTTGTAGAGTTATGCGTATGTCTTTTCTACTTTACTGCAGCAAGCGGCATCATCTATGTGTGAGGTGGATCAATCACCATCAAAAGAAGTATTGGCATCTTTGCAGCCTTTTATAAATGCCATTGTGAAGCCAGAGTTGCTAAAACATCATGACAAAGAAGTTAAGCTTCTTGTTGCAACTTGTACATGTGAGATAACCAGAGTGACTGCTCCTGTTGCCCCATATGATGATCATGTTTTAAAGGTATAACTTTTTGGTTGGAATGGGCAATTCCATTCCATTCCTTAGTTGCATTATTTTGGATCCTAATTGGTTATTGGTGTTTGACATTCCTCAGGATATTTTTCGTTTGATTGTAAGCACATTCAGTGGGCTACGTGATACAAAAAGCCCATCTTTTGGGAGGAGAGTTACTATCTTGGAAACAGTAGCTAAATATAGATCCTGCATTGTGATGTTGGATCTTGAATGTGATGATTTAGTCAACGAAATGTTCAGAACATTTTTTGCTGTTGCCAGGTTTGTTTTTGTTACTTCATGTTGAAATTTTGATGATTAAATGGGGTTGTAGTCTCATTATAATGGCTTGAACCATCTTTATGCAGTTTATGCCAAGTTATATTTTTATCATTTACTTCATATATAGTTGATGCAAATTTTAAATTAGGCTAAATGCTAAAACCAGCAAACCACTTTCATGTATTTGTGTATTATAGAATGATTGGTTTTGTATTAGAAGAAGATTGCTATAATTGTGTAGATTATCAAAGCACAATGCTGTGATAGGAAGAAATGGAATAAAAAAAAATGAATGAAAGTACGTTGCTATTTCTACATACAGTGATGAGCATTCGGAGACTGTTATCACATCAATGAAGACAATCATGGTGCTTCTTTTGGAAGAGAGTGAGGACATCAACAATGACCTTTTGCTTGTTATTCTATCTGTTTTAGGCCGAGATAAGAAAGTAAGCTCTCTATTTATTTATTTATTTATTATTTGTTCTCTCTTTCAAATTCTCAACTAAGATTTAATTTAAATAAAAAAAATGTGATTTTTGCAGGCGATAACAATGGCTGCAAGGAGGCTTGCTATGAATGTTATAGCACAATGTGCAGGAAAACTTGAACCTGGTATAAAGCAGTTCATTCTAAAATCAATGTCATCAGAGGGCAATTCTGTACTTTCTCAGATTGATTACCATGAAATCATCTATAACATCTACCGCTCTGCTCCTCAAGCCTTGGTGGGAATTGTGCCCTACATAACTGGAGAGCTTCTGGTAATTACACCTTTTATTATTCTTAAATCTCTAAAGAATCTTCACATCATTTAATATTTGGACATTTTATTTTATTTATATTTTTTCACAGACAGATAAAATAGAGATGCGGTTAAAAGTGGTGAAACTGGTGGGAGATCTTTTCTGTATCCCAGGATCTGTGATTCCTGAGACATTTCAGCCAATCCTTTTGGAGTTTTTAAGGAGGCTGACTGATAGAGTTGTTGAGGTTCGAATGTCTGTTCTTGAACATGTCAAGCTTTCTATGTTATCCAATCCTTTCAGACCAGAATCTCCTCAGTTAATTGGTAATTCCTCATTTATTATTTTTATTATTACTATTATTCGGTTACTTACTTTATAAATGTATATGATTTTTTTTTTTTTTTTTTGTTAGGTGCTCTGTGTGACCGACTGTTGGACTATGATGAAACCATACGCCAAAAAGTGGTTGCAGTGGTGTCTGACATTGCATGCCATGAGTTATCTTCTATTTCTACCAAATCCATAAAGCTTCTAGCTGATCGACTTCGTGACAAATCTGTAACTATATATAAACTTAAACTCTCCCTTTCTCACTTTCCACCAAGAAATTAAATAGCAATCTACTTTCGTTTATTTGTTCATTACAACATTCTACATTCTTCATTTTTCTTATTAAGGCATTGTACTTTGAAAAGTCTACTTAGTATAGCATTGTAGTTTTAGTTTATTTTTTCTTATCATGGTTTGAAAAGTCTCCTAAGTTATAGAGTGAAAATTGCTTTGTATTTGGATAACATTGCTATCATCAAGTAGATGTTTCAAAGTATAATGCTGTAAGCAACAGATAAGGAAAGTATGTTGCTATTTGTTGCATTTGTCCCTTTTCTTATATAGTTATATATGCTTGTGATAAATAATGTTATTATAATTATAATACAGCTCCCTGTGAAAAAGTATACCATGGAGAGGCTATCTGATATATACAGGACTTGCTGCTTGAAGCAAATGGCTGGTTTGACTGTGACTGTGAGTGATGACTATGATTGGATTCCTGGACGAATTTTAAGATGTTTTTTTGACAAAGATTTGAGGTATTTTATATTTTTTTAGATCACACTATCATCATTCCATATGTTTAAGTAAAGAATATTTGTTATTGTAAGTTTGTAACATCAACATCATTATGAGTTGCAGATCAGACACAGTGGAATACATTTTATGCACGTCCCTCTTTCCACCTGAATTTTCTGTCAGAGATAAGGTCAAAACTTGGGTCAAACTACTCTCAAAATTTGATAAAGTAGAGGTAAAAGCTTTAGAGAAAATACTGGAGCAGAAACAAAGGTTTGTTTTCCTAATTGTGCTTTGATAAATACAAAAATTTTCTATTAAATTAAAAAAAACTTGTACTTGGATTGCAGGTTACAACTAGAGTTACAAAAGTATCTTTATCTTAGGCAGATCTATAAGGTTTGCTCTATTTTTTATCAACAATACATCAGTGTTTTTAGTTTTTACACAATAAACAGTGCAAAATTAATTACAAATATGTTTTTATTGAATTGCAGGATGGTGATGGTTCAGAGCTTCAAAAGAAAGTGGCTCTTATCTTTCGTTTCATGTCTCACTGTTTCACAGATCCCATAAAAGCTGAGGCAGATTTCCTGCTTCTTCATCAACTAAAGGATGCTAATGTTTGGAAGATATTCACAGCACTTGTTGATCCCAATACTAATTCTCTTCAGACTTTCAAATCACGGGTAATAAAACTCATTCTCCTACTTTCATTTATTTCTATTACAACATTGTAATATGATACTTCATTGTTTTCTTATTAAGGCAGTGCACTTTGAAAAATCTACCTATTTATAGCATTGTACTTTTTTTTTTTTTTTTTTTGAGAAGAAGTCTAACCTGATTATAGCAGTGAAAGTTGCCTTGTATTTGAAGGAACATTGCTATAATCAGGTAGATCTCTCAAAGTACAATGCTATAACAGATTATAATAAAAAAAATCAAAGAAAGTACATTGCTGTTTCTTGCATTTAATCTGAGAATTTAGTACTTAAAGAATATGAAATGGTTTTTACAGGATGAATTGCTTAAGATTGTTGGTCAGAAGCATCCACTTTATGGAATTCTGAGCACCCTCTCCATGAAATGCTCATACATACTCTTTAACAAGGATTATGTTAAAGATATTCTGTTGGAGGTGGATCTACACAAATCTTCCGGAAACAAACTGCTATCTCAATCCTGCATGAATTTACTTGTGGTAATATTTTATTGATAACAATATGTTGTGCTGTTCAATGTTCATTCTTGGTTCAACTGTATTTGGAAACATTAAGAATGTTTTTTTTTTTTTAGTTTTGATAGTGATAGTGGTTCTTTGTTATAATAATCTGCACATAAATATGATATATTTCCAGATCCTTGCATCCTTCAGGCCATCATTGCTTAGTGGGACTGAAAAAGATTTGGTCCATCTTCTTGAAGATGAGAATGAAGTAATCAAGGAAGGTGTTTTGCATGTTCTAGCAAAAGCTGGTGGAGCTATTCGTGACCAATTGGGAGAATCATCTAGGTTTGGTTTCAATAATAATTTTATTTATTATTATTATTGTTGATGTTGTATATTAATATTATTGAATATTGAATTGCAGTAGGTTAGATCTCCTATTGGAGAGAATTTGTGTAGAAGGTAGTAGGAGGCAAGCCAAATATGCAGTACACGCGTTAGCAGCTATAACAAAGGATGATGGGCTCAAGTCACTTTCTGTTCTTTACAAGGTTTTAATGCATTTTTATTATGTTAAGTTTTTTAGTTTAGTAAATAATGAATTCTATAATTATCGTTGTCGAATAGGGTTAAAACTATACCATAAAAAATTCATATGAAAATTAACTCCCATTCCTACACATGATCATGGAGTGTAATTCCACTCCATTCCATTCCATTCCATCCAACCAAAGGCAAACATACCTTATTCTAAAGTTGCCTTGAGGACACTTGTTTGATGTTTCTTGAAAACTGTACAGAGACTTGTGGATATGCTAGAGAAAAAGACACATTTGCCCTCCGTGCTACAGTCTCTGGGCTGCATAGCACAAGCTGCTATGCCAGTTTTTGAAACCCAAGAGAGTAAAATTGAAGGGTTTATAAAGAAAGACATCTTAGGGTGCAGTGAGGTACTTGAATCCATTTTCAATGTTATGCTTGTGATTCAGTATGATTGATTAATGTGAATTTTGGTCGTTCACCATGTCTTAGAAACCAAAAGATGAAGCAAAAGAATCTTGGAATGATAGAAGCGAACTTTGTTCATGGAAGGTTGGTTGGTTGGTTTACTTGGAGTCATATGTATAAGTTCCAATTTTGATTAAATTTGTAAGTTTATTGGTCTTATTTTGTTGTGTAGATATTTGGCATAAAAGCTTTGGTAAAGAGCTATTTGCCTGTGAAAGATGCACATCTTCGTGTTGGGATAAGTGAATTGATACAAGACCTCAAGAACATACTTTCTATTGGGGAAATCTCAAAAGATATTGAATCAAGGTACTTTGGGTCATAGGGTTAAATGCAAGAAATAGCAATGCACTTTCATAGATTTCATTTGTTTATTATAGCATCTTGCTTTCTTTTCTTTCTATATGTTGAAAAATCTAGACATTTATAGCAAAGTCATCAAAATACAGCCAATTTTCACTGCTAAATTGGGTATATTTTTCCAAGTATAATGTCTTAATAAGAAAAAAGTTTGAAAGTACTATGCGATAATTGGGTAGATTTTTCAAAGTACAAAGCTGTAATAGAAAGAAATGAAAAGTAGGATCTTGTATTACACAAACAAATGAAAGCATGCTGCTATTTCTTCCATCTAGCCCTTTTTTTTTTATTATTAATCATCAGTGGTTAGTTTGTATTCTAAGTTTTCAGTTCCTTCTTCTCCCAGTTGTGTTGATAAGGCCCATTTGAAGCTAGCTTCAGCTAAGGCTATTCTTCGTTTGTCAAAACATTGGGATAAAAAGATTCCTATTGATGTATTCTACCTCACCTTGAGAACTTCAGAGGTAAACATTTTCACTTGCAAGTATTATATAAACCCGTTTTTATGCTATAATTTATAATTATCTTTCTCTTTTAACGATTCATGTAGGTTGGATTCCCTGAAGTTAGGAAACTCTTTCTCAAAAAAGTTCATCAATACATCAAGGATCGAAGTTTGGACCCGAAATATGCTTGTGCTTTCTTATTGGGAATAGGATCTCAGGAAGAGAATTCTGAGGTTACACTAACCGGATTGGATCTTTTTCAAATTTCATTATGTTGGAAGTATATAGGGTTAAATACAAGAAATAGCAACATACTTTCATTTATTTGTGCCTTATATTGCATCCTATGATCAACTCAGAACATTATAGCAATGGAAATTGTTATGCATTTGCATGATGTTTTGCTATAACTGGTTTGTGTGGAGTAAAATGGTTTAATAGGAAGAAATGAAAGTAGGATGCTATGGTATTGGTAAAGAAACTAAGAAAAGTATGCTTCTGGTATTTTGTATTGGAAGATGTGAATATTGAAGTTGAATTTGGGAATTTATTTTTGGCAGGATAAGGAGAATAGTAATAATCTGAGTGACATCATTCAGATGTGTCAGCAAGGAAAGGCAAGACAAAGTGATGTGAACTCATGGGTAGTTCACAGTACTTACATTCTTCCCTATTTGATTCATGCATTTGCCCATCATCCTTCTTTTCCAAATCTTCATGAATGCAAGGATCTTCAAGCATATCAACCCACATACAGGTAGGTATACTATTATTTATTTATTTATTTTTCAATTGAAATTGAATGCATTGCATACTATCTATACCTGTTGAATTTGATTCTTTGAATGAAAAAAATATATATGTATTTTTCTTATTTTCCAGGAAATTGTATTTATTTCTTTCTATGTTGGCAATTGGTGGTGATTGTGAAGATGGGAAGCCTGATAATAGTCTAAAGAAGGAAGAGGTTATTTCGGTACTTTCAATTCTTCGAAGCATCAGAAGCTCCCAAGATGCTGTAGATACAAACATGTCAAAGGTATTAGCATTTGATCTGTTTATTATAACATCACACTTTCATTTTTTTTTTTTTATTATTATTACAACTTTGTACTTTTAAATATCTACCAATTACAGCAATGTTGCCTTGTTGATCCTATACAAAGCAGTTTTCACTGCTATGATTGGGCTGATTTTCAAAGTATAACATCCTCATAAAAGAAGTTGAAAGTCGAATGCTATAATATAATTGGGTGGATTTTGCAAACTATAGTGACTTATTGAGTAGAATGCCGTAATACTTTCATTTTTGAAATGTTATGTGATACATAGTTAAGTTTATTTGCATGTCCAGAACTCATATGCAATCTGTGATCTATGCTTCTCAATCACCAAACGCTTAGCACAAAAGCAACAAGATCTTCAGGAACCAATACTAGCACATGTCCCTTTACCTCTACTGTTGTACAAACCACTTGAAAAGAAACAAGACAAAAAAGAAGAACAAGAGAAAGAAGAAAAGGAGAAAAAAGATGAGGTTCGAACTGATGTAAGTTCCTTCTCTCCATTTGATCATATCTATGACATATTTATTCAAACATGTTGATGTTGTTAACCTTTATAATAGATGCATCAATCAGTCATAAATTTTGTAAACTTGAAAATACAACAACAGGTAACTGAAGGCCAGAAGACATGGTTGGCTGATGCTAGTGCTGTTGCCCACTTTGACTCCCTTAACATGGAAGCTAATGATAATGTATGTTATTCCTTCATTTATTACTGCTTATTTGTTATACTTACAGGGCTAATGCAAGATTTTTTTACTTTGAAAATCTAATCAGTAACAGGGTAGTTTTTTCAAAAGTTAAAATTGAAAGTACAAATACAATGCCATAATTGGTTAGATATTTCAAAGTAGAAGGACTTATTTAGAAAAGAAATAAATTTACAATGTTGTAATAGAAAGAAACAAAAGTAGGATGGATGCTATAAATATAATATAATACAGAAAACAAATGAAAGTAGGTTGCATAAATTGATTGTTGTGTTCCAATCCATCAGGTTGCAGAGGATGATATACTGAAGGAGATTGAAAAAGATGGTAAAGAGGTGCCTTTAGGAACAGTGTTGAAAATACTAAAAGCTAAAGGAGCAAAGGAAAGAAAGGCTGTTCCTGTTAAAAATGAATCTACACCAGCTGCTGCTTCAGAAAGTCATAATAACAATAACAATAATGTTGATATTTTAGGGATGGTGAAAGAAATAAATTTGGATAATTCAGATATGATGACGAATAAATTGAGTTCCATGAATGGTACTGGTGATGATGATAATGATGAAGCGAATAAAGGTGTTGTTGATGATGATGAAAAGCGAAAAAGGAAAAGAACAATAAAACATCATGAATCAACAAATGTCTCTGTGTCTTCTCTCAAACCCAAGCGTCAAAAGTCATCTTCAAAGGGATTATCAGCTTTTGAAAACATCAAAATGATTGATGATGAACAACCCCACCCTCACACTGTTTCAGTTTCAGTTTCAGAAAACAAAGTTTCTTCTGAAGACCATATCCCTATTCATATTCAATCCACTGACTTTGATGAACCTCATAATATTCATACAGAAGACCATGAAAATATTGATGAAAGTGATCACGAGGTACGTAACCCCTGATTTTCTTTTTCCTAATAAGTATTAACTGTTGTCTGGATATATGAATATGATGTTTATAAAATATGGCTTAACAGATTAAGGTGCTGTTTTTTTTTTTTTTTTTTTTTTTTTTACTTAATGTTAATGTTAACAAAATGTCCTAGACTAGTGGGTTAAGTTAGGAAAGGGATGTCCTTACTCCTTAGCATTAAGTGATGATTCCATATTTACTTTTCCCAGAATTACCCTCATCTTCGTCTTCCCATAAAGCAATTCATGTTTTTTACTTTCCAGTTTCCCCATAATAGAGATACATCTCTCTTTTTTATTTTTTATTTTTGCCAATTTACTTTAACAAATATCTGGATTCAGTTTTGTAATTTTCACTTTTTTTTTTCTTTCCAATTATTATGATTAATTATCATGTTATTTTTTTTATTGTGATATTGTACAGTTTCAGTTTATTACCGTAATTAAATAAATGGTAATTTGTTATTTGTCAATTTTAAACATGAGGTTAAAATAGTCATTTATTCGGATTCTGACACTGCATGCAGTCTATAAAAGAAACAGTATTTGTATGAGCTACACTTATCATTATCCATTGAGTACAGTTTTATCAGTTCAGGAGTTAATAGGAAAAAAAAAAGACAGAAAGAAACAAGCACCTTACTTGTTACTTTTGAATTGTGTGATGCAGAAGATGCCTAAAAAGCATACAGATACAGATGGTATCCACAAGCCTGTCAGAAAGCGCAAACGAAAAAGTATTGCAGGATTAGCAAAGGTTTGGTTTCATCAATCTTTTATCTCATCTTTTGTAATGGATATAAAATGAGACTTGTGGGCCCCTACCAATAACTAACTAACTTCCACCCTGGTTTTTCTTCAGTGCACAACAAAGGAAAAGGAAAAGGAAACTCACACTCACACTCACACCACAGACTTGATTGGAAAGCGAATACAAGTTTGGTGGCCTATGGATAAAGTGTCAGTAGTTTCTCTTTTTCCTTATATCTAAACAAGGATATACTTGTTACTATTATAATTAATAAGAAGAAATGAAATAGAATTGCGTAAATTGTGAATTTGCAGGTTTTATGAAGGCTTGGTGAAGGCGTATGATCATCAAAAGAAAAAACATGTGGTAAGCTTTAGCTTCAGTTCCTTTACACGTTTGTTTCCTTGTATTTTATGATCTACTGCCATTTCTATCATGTAATACTAGTAGTTGATTTGATGACTAAATGCAAGAAAATACCAATGTACTTTCATTGACTTTTTTATTTTTTTTATAACAGCATCCCATCCAGCGTTCATTTCTTTCTATTCATTGTACTTTGAAAAATCTACTCAATTACAGCAATGCACTTCTAGTTTTTTTTCCCATATTAGGACATTGCACTTTGAAAATCTCCACATTGGTATAATCAGGTAGATCTTTCAAAGTACAATAGTGTAATAAGAAGAAATAAAAGCAGGATATGCTAAAATGGAAGTAGGTTGGTAATTGAAAAGGGTGGGTTGACAGTTGACAGTTGATTTTATGTTGATTGAATTGAAGGTGTTATACAATGATGGTGAGGTTGAAGTGTTACGTTTGGACAAAGAGCGCTGGAAGCTCATGGACAAGACTCCCAAGCCTCCTACAAAGGTCTGATTTTTTTTTTTTTTTTCTTAAAACTACAAAAAAATAAAAAAATTTGATTTCTGATTTTGCTTAACTTTTATCTTTACAGCGGACTAAAGTGTCAAAAGGTTCAGGCCCTAAAAGAGGGTGAGTGACTAGTCAATGATTTTTTTTTTTTATATAATTTTGTCCGCTTGTTGGTTGCAAATGGTATTCTTTTTGTTAAATGCAAGAAATAGCAATGCACTTTTGTTTTATATGTTTATTGTAATTTCTTCCCATTACAGCATTCTACTTTGAAGCATCTACCAAATTATACCAATGACTCTCATCCAAAATTCCAAATACAAATACAAAGCAATTTTCACTGCTATATTTGGTTAGATTCTTCAAAGTATAATGTCCTAATAAGACAAAAAAAAATAAAAAATGAAAGTTGAATGGTATATTTGGTAGAATTTTGGAAGTACAATGCAGTCTAATAATAGAAAGAAATGAAAGTAGGATGCTATAATAGACAAATAAACAAAAGTAGGTTGTTGTTTCTTGCATTTAGCCCTTTATAAAGTTCATCTTTATATTGATTGAGGCTAATATTGTCATCATTAGTGACTAGTGAGTTTGATTTTGGTAATGAGGGATTTAATATAAGAGTAATCTTGAATGTTTTGCAATGCAGGTCTATTAAGAAGATTCCTGATAATTCCAAGAAATTTAAGGACTTAGCTGACATGTGAGTAAAAAAAGAAATTTTCAATTTTCAGTTTCAACAAAACAACACTAGTTTTTATTAAAAAGTAAAGTGTTAATGGGGCAACAATGACATGATATAGATCTTCATCACCAATGGCAAGAGGCAAAAGAACCCCAAGAAAAAAAATGAAGAGAGTTTTCCAAAAAATTCCTGAATATTCCAAACGAGAAACAAAAGAGGATCTTGAGGAGGATATAACTGAATCCGAGCATGCCACTTTCTCAAAGGTTGATAATTTGGACACAGGTGAACAAAACAAACATCTTCTTTAAGGATATCATCTTATCTTATTCTTAGCTAGTAGCTACTCCTTTTTTGTTTGGGTGTACAATGTCACTAAATAGCAACAACCATTGTTATCAAGATTTGTTTTTCAGTTTTTCTTGTTGACATGGACATATGACGTCACAAGTTTGTTGAAACAATTTCATTGAATTATTAGTAAGTAACCAAGTATCAATTTTTGTGAAACTCTTTAATGGTTTTAATAACCATATATATGGTCCCTTTAATGTTTCAACAAAAATTGATACTTGTTTGCTTGGTTGCTATTGAATGAAATTGTTGCAACATTTCATAACAGTGGAACAAAAAAGAAAAATATAAAACTTGGTTGCTATTTAATGAAATGGTACGACAGAGGTAAAAGTTAAATTGAGTTTGACATCGCATCATAATCTTTACTTATGCAGAAGAAGAGGAGGCAAGTGATCAAGAGGGAGGACATTCAGGAGATGAGGAAAAACATGCAGAAATTACATTGCAGAAACAAACTGAAAATGTTGATGATGATGATGATGATGATGATGATGATGTCAAGAGGCAGTCACCGGATGACCGGAAAACTTTAGATTCCGGCGAGGCGGAGCTCTCCGATGACGTGCCACTTGTACCTATTTTCAACTTTTAATCCATTTATTTCTTCCAATTTCCTTGAATAAAAAACTAATAAAAATGTTTAATTTTTTTTTCGTTTTTGATGCATTGCAGGGTGTATGGAAGTCTAAAGTTAGGAAACCAGATGTAAGCAAAAGCAAACAGGTTTAGGAGGAAGAAGATGATAGACATATAATTATTTACAATCAGATTGTTACTTTACTTACACCAATAATAAAATGTGAAGTTGTATGTATGTATGGTTGCTACACCCTGACTTGACTTACTTAACTGTTGAATGTACAGATATAGTTTTTGACATGTGTTGTTCCTTTTCTTTTCTTTGCAAATGTACATCTCTTTAGCTTTTTCATGTAAAACTCATCAACTTTCTATCCCTTGGGTTTCATTTTTATGTTGCGTGTGGACATGTCTGTCTAATAAAGGTTTGTTTGTATGAGGGTGAAGGCAACAGTCTTAATTTGTGTTTATCATGTACCCAAGCATTACGACTATATACCTTGAGGAAATATGTCCATACATCATGTGTAGGATATTATTTGTAAAGTCCCATATTTCATAAGATCAAAATTTCTTGTAAGAAATCTGACTTTTTGGATGGGACATTTTTTTGTTGTTACAAATCAATATGCACATCTCTACAATCTTTGGAAACAAGCGTAATAGCAGAAGATACAAGAACAAACGAGTTGTGAGAGAATAAAAACAAACTTACTTCTTAAAGGAATACATCTTTAATTCTTATTACTGGTGTCTTCAAACGACCTAACTAAAACAACGCTCTCATCCAAAAACTAAACCCATATGCAGTGGCATTCCAAACCTTCAATACGGATAAAGGCGCCGACTTTTCATCCCGGATTACGAATGACCATTGTGATCGCAGGTAAGGGGAATCATTCATAACCCTACTTCTCAGACTTGGTCGCATCATTATTTCTATCTGCGTGTGAGACAACCCAAGAAGCCCACATCTCGGTGATCCTAAAAGATCGCTTCTAATCTAACAAAAATATAAAAAGAGAAACTCATATCCGTGACCATGCAAACATCAAAACTCACTTTGAACTGATACCTCGGGCTCAAATTAATCTACCCTAACTAATAAAACAATAGTTTTCATGTCCACTTGTCATCTTCTTGTAATGCCATGTCCACTTGTCAGCTTTTAAATATGTGATATTAATACAAAATCCTTTGAATAAGTAAATAACTAATCACTTAGATACTATTTAATACCTGTCTTCCAATAGTTTTGGTGGTCAAACGAAATCATTAAGCATTGCATAATAACTTTAAAAAATAATAATAATAATAAAAGGATACATATTTTCTTCCCTTCTTTTAGGAATTTTCAAAATCTTTTGTAATCTGACTCCATATATTGAAACCAATACATATTTTCTTCCCTTCTTTCTTAAACTTAAACTGTTCCAAACCTTTCTACGAGTTCCGCATTTTGTATCTGTCATCTTCCAATCGGTTCGTCCATAGGCTTCAACCTTCAATCTCCATTAGGTACATATCTAATCTGTTACTTTAACGTTTCTGAAAAAAAATATAAACTTTTCTTTGAATATAGATGAACATAATTTATCTGTTATTTTAACGTTTTTAAATAAAAAATACAATGATTTATGGCGAAAATCCAGATTGGTATACTTGTGTTAAGATCATGGGTTGGCACGACCAGTCAATGGTTCAATGGGCTCAAGAACACACAAGATTTACCAAATTAATCTTTCTACTGGTTTATGGAGTTATGAAAACTATCGTCCATTTTTTTTACTATTCGGTCAGTTTGATTTCTGGAATCTATTTTTTTTTTCTTTTTGGTAATTTTGAAATTTTTTATTATCAACTTAACTAATTACATGTATTTCTCAACTAACACATCAAAGTTTTCATAATTCATTTTAACTGTTTTTTATTTATTTGCATTTCAATTCAATATCTTATATTTGACTATGTTTGTGCACTGTTTACTTTCAACATAATGTCTATTCCAACCATCACGTACTTGAATGACATTGGTATGGTATCACCTGTACCACATTTAAAGTACGGATACTCAGCTTGTGGAACTTCATTCCAAAATCAAAGAAACAAATCTTATCCATCGAAATGATTCTTATGGATGAAAATGTTGCTTTCAATAATTGACTGACCTTCTTATTACACAAACCTTTAGTTATATTTTTATTATATCGTTGAGTGACATTCTTATTTTCTCTGTAGGGCACTAAGATACAATGTCGTGTTTTCAATAGCCAGTTCCATAGGTTCCAACATCTTCTAAATGTTGGAGACACTTTAATGATAAAGAATCCTAACATGGCTGAGAAACAAGAAGGTTTTAATATTACTGGACAACACCAACAAATTGTGTTGAAATGGAATACTATTGTTAAGAGATGTACTGATTTTATGGGTCTAGTTCATAGTTTTGTGTTTGTTGATTTTGCCTCAATTTTACAGCAACAATGTTCTACAAATTCATGTTTTGGTAAGTTTTTTTACTTCAATTTTTAAATTTTCTTATGAAACCCTATATGTTATATTAATCTTTTAATCTTTTTATGATTCTTAGATGTAATCGGCCATATCGTGTCACGTCGTGATCTTGATTCATCTAACTCGAATCAATCAAAACACACAATCAAGTTTACTTTTAGTGATATAGAGTCAATTCTTTACCCTTTACTTTTTTATAAGACAAAACTTCAAAAATGGTCCCTGTGGTTTTCGAAAATATCAAGTTTAATCCCTAAGTTAAAAAAACCTCACAGATAGTCCCTGTGGTTTCAAAACTTTTAACAAATGGTCATTTTCGCTAACTCCGTTAGTTTTTGGCCGTTAAGTGAAGGGTATTTCTGTCATTTCACTGCCACAGGGACCATTTATGAAGATTTGTCTTATTTAAAAAAAACTAATTATTTAATATTAAAGGGTCCCACCTCTCTCTCTCTCTCCTTGAAAGTCAACACCCTAAATGCAGAAAAATGATAACTCTTCTTTCTTCCTGATCAAATGAGATCTTGCATAATTAATTAGAGCATTTGTTTGGTTGTTCTTAAACTAAACCCAGGACGACCCATGAAATACCACCTCCCCACCATTGATTCGATCAAACATCACCACCTCACCTCCTTTTTCTCTCCTTCTCATGAACCTACTGTCAAGAAATGACACCACCGCGAAGGGTGGTCAAAAGACATCGCTGCCTCCATTAAAGAACCAACACTGGTGGCTTTAACTACCGTGAATCACCACCATCTGCCACTGTTATTGACCAGTAACCCCCTCCGTCCCTCTCCTATTCAGATAATCAACCACCACCACCATTTCTGTTGCAAGAAAGGCCGAAAACCGCCATCCACCACCTTTACCGGAGAGAAAACCACCTACAACCACCGCCACTGCTGATTCCGACCACCACCGAGTTCCCCTTCCTCCCCCACTCGTATCTCCGTCCAATTAAAACAGAAGAGAAGTAGCAGAAGGCCGTCGGAGCAGCCCCCTGCCGCACGCCACCGAGTTCCCCCTCCCCCCCCATTCTTGGTAAGCTCTGTGAACTCAGCCTAACCCCATCCTTGTACTTTGAATCGATTCCAGGAGAATGAGTAGACAGATTTGTTTCTTGTTGATGTACAAACCCCTCTTTTGTCACTTTAGTCCCAACCCCGGTTACCTTCTTGGTTCTCTTAGCCACCATCTTCATGCTTCTCACAGGCGGCTTCATGCCTTATTTGCCAAATTATATCTTCAATATTTTTGGGTTTCGATGCTTACCTTGTGGGATTCCGGTTTTGCAATTTTGGATCGTCCCTAGTAGTGCTTCTTCATTGGCCGAGACCAGTTTCTTAGGATGTGATTCGGTGGACAAATATGGAGTTTTCGATTTTGGGTTTTTCTTATTTGTGGGTGTGTATGGGGAAGACGATGAGTAGAAAAAGTTGAACCCAGATGTTGTGAATTGGAAATTTCATTAAGAATCATAGATGGTAGAGTTGGGTGTGAGATCTATGGAGTGATTCGAGGGATTTCAGGGATTTGAATGAGTGAGGTTTGGTAACATGACTGTTGCAGCTTCCATTGTTGTAGCTTCTTTTTTAGGAGAGAGAGAGAGAGAGAGGTGGGATCCTTTAATATTAAATAATTAGTTTTTTTAAAAAATAAGGAAAATCTTCATAAATGGTCCCTGTGGCAGTGAAATGACAGAAATACCCTTCACTTAACGGCCAAAAACTAACGGAGTTAGCGAAAAGGACCATTTGTTAAAAGTTTTGAAACCACGGGGACCATCTGTGAGGTTTTTTGAACTTAGGGATTAAACTTGATATTTTCGAAAACCACAGGGACCATTTTTGAAGTTTTGTCTTTTTTTAATGTATATGTTATTTATTATGTAAAACTTGTACTTCATTATTGCATTGGAACCGACCTTAGGGTTACTTTGTTTGGTTTTCAAGCCCATCAGCTAAGTGATTTTTTGACAAATAACACAGATGTATCTTATGTTATTATAATTGTCCAGTTTGCTGTCCTTAATGTTTGGAATGGTTTGTGATAATATATATTTGTTATTATATATTTTTTAATTTTGGAAAATAAAATATTTGTTATTTATTTTTTTTCTTTATCAGAGCGTGTTTCAGTACAATCTTACTTTGATTCTTCTAAGTTGTTTGTTAATGCTTATATTGTTGAGATTAACGAGTACCGGAAAAGGTTAGTTGCATTGTTATAATTTATTGTTAATGCCCTAACATAGATAACTACTAATCTTCATCTTTACATTTTAATATATTTATTACGTAATACAGGTTGGTGGGTGTCGATGGGATTAAGAAATATGAAAGTAGTATTACTGTACTACCAGGGCCGGCCCGTTGATTTTGAAGGCCCTGTACAAAAGATAAAAATGGACCCCTAAAATTTCGTATTAAATACAAATAGCGATATAAAATGACGTCTTTTTTTAAATAAATAAATCATATTCATGTGATGTTTGATCAAATTTCGCAGATGCTATAATTGTTTGTTCAAATTCTTTTGATTCTTCACTTTATTTTATGATATTAAATCAAATCTCAGTTTATGTTTAAGAAATTATAGGGTAATCACTCAAGCCGATCAAACGATATCTTTTAGTAAAATCTATTACAATTTGTTTCCAACAAAACCTACTGAAAACGTTCACACACATATACATATGGGTGGTTGAAGAAATGTAAAAAATCTAGATGTTGAATCAAGGGAACATGTAATAAAAATTCACAGAAAGCTATTG